AAGCTCAGGGACAGTGCCCAGGCCCTGAGTTCAAGTTCCAGAACTGGCAAAAAAAAAAAAAAGAATTGAAACTTTTAGCTGAGTACCAATGGCTCACACCTGTCATCCTAGCTACTCAGGAGGCTGAGATCTGAGGATCACCGTTCAAAGCCAGCCTGAGCAGGAAAGTCCTGAGACTTTTATCTCCAATGAACCACAAGAAAACAGGAAGTGGAGCTGTGGCTCAAAGTGGTAGAGTGCTAGCCTTGAGCTCAAGGACAGTGCCCAGGCCCTGAGTTCAAGCTCCACGACCGACAAAAAATTAAGTAATTTTTTTTTTTTAAAAACGATGTTGTTGCCGGGTGTCAGTGGCTCATGCCTGTAATCCTAGCTACTCAGGAGGCCGAGATCTGAGGATCACGGTTCAAAGCCAGCCCAGGCAGCAAAGTCCATGAGACTCTTATCTCCAATAAACCACCAGAAAACCAGAAGTGGCGCTGTGGCTCAAGTGGTAGAGCACTAGCCTTGAGCTGAAGAACTGAGGGACAATGCCCATGCCCAGAGTTCAAGCCCCATGACTGACAAAAACTCAATTAAAAAAAAATTTAAAGGTGCTGTTGAGGAAAAGGAGAGAAAGGGTGAAATTGACCCACATGCATGCTATTTATTAACTGAGCTAAAAAAAAATCAAAATGTTATTTGTCTTTTTCACACAGTTATAGTTTGCACGGAAAATTAAGACAATTGTTACCTTAGCGTGTTTTCCGTGACTATAACACAGTACCACAGATGTGGTACATAACGAAGAAAAAAGGCCTTATTCCGGCTCCCATTCAGGGCTGAAATCAAAGGTCCACATTGGGTCCCAGCCTTCTCGATGGTGGGGTCCCAAGGTGACTTGAGGGCGTCACAGATTGAGTCAGAGGAAGTGTGTATGTGTGTGTGTGTGTGTGTGTGTGTGTGTGTGTTCAGGCCACTCTCCTTACAAAAGCCACCCAATCTCAATAGTGGGGCCCCACCCTGGTGACTTTATCTGATGCTGATCACCTGCCCAGGCCCCACCTGCCAGCACGGCAGACGGATTAGCAGGGTGGGACAGCACCCTAGTAAAGCTACAATAGGGATTAAACTCCAAGAGGGGACAAATGGTACTCAACTCGCCACTGTGAGTCAAGATCTATAAACTTGGGGCAACTTCATTGACTTAAACAGCGTATTGCCACAGACTGGGTGCAGTAGCACCTCTTTTTTTTTTTTGGTGGGTCATGGGGCTTGAACTCAGGTCCTGGGCGCTGTGCGTGAGCTTTTTTTGCTCAAGGCTAGCGCTCTACCCCTTGGAGCCACAGCGCCACTTCCGGTTTTCTGGTGGTTTATTAGAGATAAGAATCTCCCAGACTTTCCTGCTCTGGCTGGCTTTGAACCGCAATCCTTAGGTCTCAGCTTCCTGAGTGGCTAGGATTAGAGGCGTGAGCCACCAGCTCAGGACCGGTAGCACCTTTCATTAAGCCAGGAGTTCAAGACATTTTTTTACAAAGATGCTAAACAGCGCTCTTATTGGGTGTTTGATTTTGGTCATAAAAGTATTTTTTGTGAGCCAGACGCTGGTGGCTCATGCCTGTAATCTTAGCTGGTCTTGGGGCTTGAACTCAGGACTGGACGTTGTCCTTGAGCTTTCTGGCTTTTTGTTTTGTTTTGTTTTTTCCAGTCCTGGGGCTTGAACTCAGGGCCTGGGCACTGTCCCTAAGCTTCTTTTGCTCAAGGCTAGTGCTCTACCACTTGAGCCACAGCGCCACTTCTGGCCTTTTCTGTTTAGGTGGTACTGAGGAATAGAACCCAGGGCTTCATGCATGCTAGGCAAGCACTCTACCACTGAGCCATATTCCCAGCCCTCCTTGAGCTTTTTTTTGCTCAAGGCTAATGCTCTGTACTTGACACAGCTCCACTTCCAAGAAAAATACTTTTTTTTTTTTTTTTGTCAGTCGTGGGGCTTGAACTCTGGACCTGGGCGCTGTCCCTCAGCTCTTCAGCTCAATAAATAAATTGTAATAAAATAAAACATTTTTCTTATCTTCACATATATGGGTTTATTATTATTTATTCAGAAGTACTGTTAAATGATCCAAGTTAACCTTTTTTTAAAAGGCAGAATCTCATAGTTTAGGTAGGCTTTGAACTTCCTATGTATTCCTCCAAACTGGCCTCCACCTCTCCATCCTCCTACCTCAGCCTCCTGAGTGCTGGGCTTGCAGGTGTGAACCACCACCCTCAGCTGTGTGTTAATATCTTACATTGAAAATTAGCAGTAAATAGAGCTGTAACTATAACCCACCCACCAACAAAATCTCTCTGTGGTCTTCCCTAATTTCTTTTTGTTTTCTTTTGTTGCTGTTTCAGGATTTGAACTCAAGGCTTTTAATTCTTGCTCTGCTCATGCTCTACTATAGCCCCACCTCACGTATGGCTTTTTTCTTGTTATTTTGGAGATGGAGTGTGTGTGTGTGTGTGTGTGTGTGTGTGTTGGTCCTTAGGGCCTGGGTGCTGTCTCTGAGCTTTTCAGCTCAAGGCTAGTGCTCTACCATTTCAGCCATAGCTCCACTTCTGGCTTTTTTTTTTT